GTGGGTGGGTGGGTATCATTGTCTGCCCAACTGTCCACCATACACAAGTCACACCTCATTAGTAGGTAGTGGAGAAGACAACGGCAGTTATGTCTGCCATGAAAGCAACGCCTCACACACATTGACACCCCCACACACACACACACACACTTCTACCCCAATTACCCCTATCCTGTCCCCTGCGCTGAAGAGTTGAGTTATGCTGACAGGCACCCTTCTAGAAAGTAGAGGGGGAAGAAAGTCAAAAGGAGGGAAAGAAAAGTGATGGAAGGGTGAAAGCTGGAGGGGTTCAGAGAGGGGAGGAGAACAGAGGAGGGAGAATAGACCGAGAGGGGAAAGGGGGAGTCACATCAGGCAGCACGAAGTAGAATGAAACATGTCTCCCTGTCACCAGCCCCACACTGTAAATGGATGGCCCCCGCAATCTTGCCATCATCGACTTATCTCCGCGGACCGAAAGTGGAAAAAAGGGCAAGCTAAAAGAAGAGAAGCACGAATGTGGTAGAGAAGAGTGTGCTCCGCCACAAACTGGCTGTAATTTGTTACGGTTTCTAAAGACAAATATGACAGGATTGAATTACTCTGCCACCGCTGAAGCCGTCATTTGCAAATGCCATAAAGTGCAGGTATAAATCTCCTACCCGAATCCACTTAATCTGAGGCTTCTGGGCTCTTCAGCAGCCGCCGTCTTGTCAAGCATGTGTTTACTGTGAAAGGTCTCTCTAGTTCTTTGTAAAAAGAAAGAAAAAAAGTATTGTACAGAGGTGATGGAATTGGAATTGACTCGTTCACAGCGGGGACTGATGCTTTCCGTTGATGCCATAAAAACAGGTAGAGTGCTTTGGAGGCTGCAAGATTATTTTTGACAGATGTCCTGCAATCATTCCAGAGACTTTTCATAAGACTTGTACAGAAGGCTGGCTGAAAACCTCCACTATAGCAAAGAGAGAAGACTTTCAAGTTGCTTTTCTTCAGTTTATGGCTGCCATCAGTACTTTATATTCACGAGAAAGTTATGGCTAGAATTGTTTTGTGTAAATGGCAGTGGAGTTGAGACTTGGACTACTGGACATAGCATAAGTTACAAAAAAGAACACTTGAGAATTACAACCTCTGCGACTTGTCTTGAGATATGAAAAGCAAAGCTGAGAGTAAAAATGTTAGTGTGTTTCTTATATTTGTATCTTTTAACTAAAAAACTATGCAAATGATGATCATTTACCAGAAATGACTAATAGGATATGTAAATGAAGTTATAACAATTTGGATAGACATTGATGCAACTTGACAGCGGGTTACTTTTTTATTAAGCCAGCTGCTGCTTTGAATTTTCAGAATAAACTTTGAAACTCAAGTTTTAAGTCAACATGGACGAAAAAGGGTTGTTCAAAATGCACAATTCCATGGGTCTAAAACTCCATCCGCTTATGAGGATCATTTAATATGATCTAAGCTCCAGAACAGCTACTTAATAAACACTCAGTTTAAAATGTTTTCAAGTCAAATATTTTAAAAGCTTGGAAAGAAAATAACTTTTATCAGGGCTAGCCATTTCCTTATCAAAACTTGTAACCTGACATGGACCTGTCTTAACTGACTGGATATTGAACTGCCAAAAACACGTAAAACTAAATAATCCTCACTCACAAATTTGAGATGTGTTTATTCATCACTGCAATTAAACAAGACACCTGCATTCAGTTTCTAATTGTCACATGATTCTTGATTTTCTTGCCTGCAGTTGAGCAATAGGCAGCACTCCTTTCCTATTAGCCATCTGCAGCCACGTGGTAGTAAACATCTCACATGCACTGCAGCAAGACAAAACACAACAGGACAGGTGCTAACCTTTGAGGCATTAACAACAGCAATGAAAGATGATCACACAGCACAGAGTATTATCAGCACATCAGACAGTGAGTGATGAGTACAGTCACTGCCTTAATTTATGCATTGCTACTCCGTCTTGTCACCACTGTTCAGCTCCAAGGATTTTACTTCCACCATGAGGAAGGGAGAATGGAGAGAGCGAGGGAGGGAAAGAAAAAAATAACTGTGGCAAAGCGTGGATTTTCCACTTCCTCTCTGACCAAATCCCACCATTTCAGGAGATTAACCTCGGCATGCGATAAATGTTCGACTTCTTCTTCCCTTCCAATTTCCTTGGAGCTAGAAACTCCAGAAGCCAGCGCGGCATGTAAGATAAAAAAATGATCACCTAATTCACTCAAGCACAAAATACATTTCTGGAGAGAGGAGGAATAGCGGGCAGAAGAGAGAGAAAGGGAGGGAGTGTGTCACCAGTGCTTTACCAGCCACTGTTCAGAATTCTCCTCAATCAGTTATTATTAAATGAAGCACTTATTCAAACGGACCTGTGTATAGCAAATAGGTGGTGGCACGTCTGTAGAAATTTCTTCTTTTTCTCTTATCCAGAAGGATTAATCGCATTGTTCAGCTCTCCCTACTACCCATACTGCACCTCACATGGCAGCTGTGCTCAAATGCTGTTGATTGCTGAAGGTGCCCTCTGCAGATTGCTGCTGCCACTAAGCCATTTAAATGGAGTTGTTAATAAAATGTAGCGATGATTGCCTTCCACTTCCCCCTCATCTCTGGTTTGGCAGATGGTTTTTGCAGGACTAATGTAGTATTTGGGCTAACCATCAAACTGGAGTTAAACATTAACCTCAAACTGAATTGAAAAAAAAAATTCGCTAAGAAATCAGTAACCAGTGACACAAAATGATTGCAAAGTGACTCAAAACAACCACAAGATGCACAACAATTAAAGAAACTTACAAGTGGCTACAGAAACACAAAATCTGCTACAAGGGGACTCAAAACTACTACAAAGAAAATCAAAACTACTACAAAGAAAATCAAAACTACTAAAAAGATAATCAAAACTACTAAAGACACTCAATACTAATTAAAAAGAGACACTGAAAACTATAACAGTCACAAAACAACTACAAATAGATATAAAAACTACTCCAAAGACACACAATGCAGCTAGACAGAGACACACAACTACAAAACGACACAATGCACCTAGAAGCAGTGTAAACACATAGGGTGTCATAGAGACAGATATACAAAGGGGAACTGGTAAAGAAGCGTGGAAACAGGATTATGTTGTGAACACGTGTTCCAACAATCTATAAGCATCACATTATATCTGGCGTTGTATCAAAGCGTAGCTCGGAGAGCAGACATATTCATCAGGGATTCCTTCTGGTGAAAGATCTTGTAGTGTGAGAACCCAAACGACTTAAAGACTTCCAAAAACAAGACAGTGAGCTCTGTATTGTGAACAGTACAGCAATCTGACAACTTTAAAGACTTGTAGTGTGAACTTGGCTTTTAATATTCTTGTTTAGTCTGAATGTGCCACTCTATGACTGCTGGCAGTCGGCCTCAAAGCTTCATGTAAAACCTTGCTAGTGCATTTTATTACATTGGGATATCATCCAAGACTTTATCAGCCAAAGGATGCCTCTAATGATCCATTAATGCTTGGATGTGTTTCTCCACCAACTCTCTCCTATCTGATAGTGTCTGACTCCCTGGTAAAATAAGTTGTATTAACCTGGATGATAGTGGAACATTAATAAAACAAGCTGCTGTTGATGCAGTCACTGTAGTTATTTGGTGTTTCTCGTACAAGAGAAAGGAGATTTGAATATGCAAATGATATGAATAGCTGAGAATCACTTCACATGGAGGCGAAGAGTGAAGCAATCACAATATTCTTTCTGGGTTTCCTTGGCCAAAATACCTCCTACACAATTGAATAATGTGCATGGGCAAGTGTTGGACTGATAAATGTCCACCAACCTACCTCCACCATAAATAGGCTACCCTTGACACAACAAGTTAATGAGCCCATTGGTGATGCAGTTACCAGCGGTCTGTTATGGAGGAGGCAAGCAATAGTGAGTGGGTGGATTATGATGGTGATTAGAACCAGTGGGTCAGGAGGGCCCATTGAATTGTCATCAATACCAGCGAGATAGGGTATCATGCTAAAGCAGCGCCTTGTGTACCGCAGGCACACACACACAGTGCCAGCGGGCTGAGGGTTTTGAATATTAACAGAGAGGTGGGAAATACATAAACACTCCATCTTGTTGGCAGAGGCTGCTTGTCTGTCCCCGCAGAGTGTTGAACGTATGCCATGGCTGCGTCGGCCTGCATCCTTGTGATAAAAGGAGAGAGAAATTACGCAGGCTCTCTTTGGCCAGACACAAACATATTCATTAGTGAGGAAGCATTGAATGAGCTGGTTGAAATGTCACAGGGCCAAACAGTCTCCCTGGACTAATGACCCCCATGTCTGTGTTAGAATAATTTGTGAGATTCTTGAGATTTTGTCTTTTCCTGATTACATGAAAACAGCTTGAGATGGTGGGAGCAGATGAATCAAACAGATATTTGACTCAAAACCACAAATGTCAACATCAAAAAAAGTTAGGGGGTGAAGTCATTAGGAGTCATTGTCAAGGAGACTGTGCAAAGTTTAATGTCAATGTATAGTGTAGAGGTGGAGATTTGCTCAGTTGCTAAATGAATGGTCAGGGTGTCGATTAAGTAATTATTATTCATTCTCAAATAGAGATGTCCCGATCCAATCACGTGATCGGGGATCGGAGCCGATCACGTGATTTTCAAAAGATCGGAATCGGGAGAAAAAAAATCGGGGATCTTTTTCTTTTTTTTATTCAATGCGGCGTCCTCTGAAATTCTGAACTTGTACCAGTAA